TCCTTTTGTACATGTACTGTTATGTGATTTTTCTTATTTCGAACCCTTGATACATTTTTACTACAATCAAGAGATGAATTGTCTAAAAGAACGATTTTTTTTTTTAATCCAGAACTTTTGTTTTACAGAATGTTCTTGTAGTCCTTATGTATCCACTTACACATCTATCTTTGAGTAAACTATCAAAAGTAAATTTATATATGCATTGGTTGAAATTGAAAAATCTTAATATTTTGTAAAAGTTAAAACTACTTTTGTGTACGACATACATATGTTACTCATTTTATTTAAACAATTTATTTTTCGTACAATAACTTGGGATTCTATTTATCTTTCTCAATTTTCATGTTTTGCTTATGAGATAAAGTAACAAAATACACATGTTTCTAAATATTCGTAGTAATTTTCTTTTTTCTTAATAAATATATAGAAGCAATATGTACTGTAAATTTTTAGACGGTTAAGGTTGTCGAGTACACGTAACGAAACAACGAAATATAATAATTTTTAATTAACGAAAAAAGAATTTCTGCGGTAATATTAATTTATTCGGTACAAAATATGTTTGTTATCATTCGTACGATAAAATGCACGTTAGTGTTACGTTTACGTGCTTATCACGACAAAATGAAACAGCGGAATCGTGGAACGGGACAAGAGGAACGTGAAACCAGCGAAACACGTAAAGGAACATGTATCCATCCGGTCCGTGTGATTTTCCCCGTGCCCTCTCCCCTTAATCTCACGTCTGTCAAATGGTCGTGAATGGTCGTGAATTCTCAGAAGATGTGAGGCTTTGGAAAGTAGGCACGCAAAGGAAACAGTGTTCAAAGTTCTCGCATAATGCTATTGCATTTAAAATATATCACGGTCGCCGATGTTCCGATATATTTACGGTAACGACGAGGAAGTATTCGACGGGGAAAGGAGTAAAGCGATCTTAAACGGTGCCTACAGCAATGGCCACGACAGACAGTGTCACGATAGAAGACCTCCGGACCGAGATCGAGAGGCTCTCACGTGAATTAGATTTAGCATCGACAGAAAAAATACAATCGGCTCAATATGGTCTAGCGTTGCTTGAGGAAAAATCTGCTTTGCAACAAAGATGCAACGATCTCGAGGCCCTCTACGAAAACACGAAACACGAATTGGAAATCACGCAAGAGGTTAGCTCAGGTTCTTTCATGTATTTCAATAGATTTCAATATGTTTTTCCTTACTTTACCGCGGTCTCTCTTCTCAAATGCGACGCTGTTCACAAACTTTTGACATTTCAACAGTCTTTGCATATTAAAATATGTTTACGATATGTTAATTACATTTCATTCGAATAATTCGATGATAAGCGTAACTATTTTAACGTTTCCATTGACGTTCGCGAGAAATATTTATTGTTTTAATTAATATTCTTTTGATATCTTCCCTTCGATAGGCTTTAGCTAAGTTTCAAACAACTACGAAACTTACTACAAAGAGTGGAATAGAGCAAGAGGAGAGTCTTCTTAATGAAAGTGCTGCGAGAGAAACATCTCTTCAATCAGAAATTATTGAATTAGAAAGTGAAACAAAGCAGGTAAGTAATTTGGATAATTATGCATGAAAGGTACATCTCATTGATGTTAATAATTTTTGAATGTTATTAGGATAAAGATTTTGAATTTTTCCCTATGTATGTTACTGCCGCTTGGTCCTTAGTGTTTTCAAAGTATTCGCAAAAAACTAAAGCTACTATTTGTTTACTGTTTCTACAAGTTCATCGTAGGCAACACTTTTAACACGTTGACTTCTGTGTCATCGGTGTATGGGTGATAGAATTATTTCTCAGAATGATATCTCAGAATGTTGAGTTTAATAACGAATTTAAATTTTATCAAAATCTTTGGGGTGCAACAAATTATACATAATTACCATAATTTCTTTTAAATGGATTTATAAAACTAATAATCTTTTCAAATTCATATATTTCTCTTAGTTGACATTATTATTTCTAGTTACGTCACGAATTAGAACGAGTCCAATCTGAACGTGATCATGCATTACAAGAACGAGAAGAAGTTGGCAAAGACTGTCAACAGGCAGAAACAGAGAGAAAGTCTTTACGTACTATGCTACGCGAATGTAGATTTCGCGAAGCTCGACTACTCCAAGATTATTCGGAATTGGAAGATGAAAATATCTCATTACAAAAGCAAGTATCTGGACTACGATCCAGTCAGGTAGAATTCGAAGGTGCCAAACATGAAATAAGAAGATTAACAGAAGAAGTGGAATTTCTAAATAGTCAAGTTGAAGAATTAACAAATTTAAAAAAAATTGCTGAAAAGCAGATGGAAGAAGCGCTTGAATCTTTACAAGCTGAACGCGAAGCAAAATATGCGCTTAAGAAAGAACTTGATCAAAGAATTAATAGTGAGTCCATTTATAATCTTAGTAATCTTGCACTTTCAATTAGAGGAATCACCGAAGATCAAACAATATGTAGTGATGGAGAAGATGATTCTCCAGCATTACGTAGAATTGAGGCAGACCTAAAAACTCAAGAACCAGGTACTTCGGCTACTGACAAACAAGTTGATTTGTTCTCCGAAATTCATTTGAATGAATTAAAAAAATTAGAAAAACAGTTAGAACTAGCCGAGTCTGAGAAGGCTCATCTCACACAAAATTTAAGGGAATCACAATATGCAGTTGAAAAAAGTCAGAATGAATTGCAATCCTTTGTTGCGCGCATACTACAATTAGCAGCTCATGTACAATCATTGCATCACCTTCACTCACAATTGCCCGAAAAACAAACTGAAGAAGCAACATTGGATAAATTAAATCAGGTATGAATATTACATTACAGTACAATGGCAATTTAATATAACTATTAAACCTAACATTAGCTAATTTCTGCTGTCTAGGCGATAATGCAATATCATCAATGGAGTACTATGTCTGCACGAGAAGTGAATCAACTTCAAAAAGATTTAGCTGAATTGGAAAATGGTTTAACTATATCTGATTCGACACAACAGTTACGGACGGAATTAACGAATCTTAGGAATAAGGTATATGACACCTTTTTACTTTCATATAAAATTGTTCATTTTATACAAATAAACAGTGATGTAGCAGCAAATACGAAGAACACAGATATAAGTTGTTAACTTATAAAATTTCCACTGACAATAAGTTAGTACATGAAAGTATCGAGAGTAAAATAAACTGACTCTGGCACAATGACAATTAACATTCAAAATTTAGACTTTGAATAGAAATTATGGCATTTCAGATCCCCGAGTCAGAGAAGAGCCTTCGAGAAAAGGTTGGAGCGTGTGATCCCCTTGACGTATTTACCAATTATTTAATAACAATTTGTCTTTGGCTCCTTTAATGATCCGTACAGATTGCTTTCTAATGTTCTAACAACCCATCTTGTATTGCTTTTTGATATCTTTATATTCATAACTATACATGTTGCTACAGCTACTGACGGGCAACCATGATTTCTCAAAGCGTAGACTCCTTTGTGAAAATACATGTGTACTCTACGTACCCCAGCGTATAGTATTGTTTTCACAAATGGGTTGACATGATTAGTGTCCACATGAATGTTTTTCTATCAAGTGCTCAAACAAACGTACGGATCTCAATTGCTATGCACTGTGGCTTTAAAATAGAATGTGCTTAGGAGTAAGAAATCAATCAATACTATCCTTCTATTTGTTTCACTTGCATCTAACGTAGCATGAGTCAGACTCACAGAGCCTGTTCGCACGATGTTCAAGCAGATATTCTGTATATCATCTTGTACAGTCTTGCAAAATTACTTCAACTGTCAAGCATTGTCTTCCTGAACTACAAAATCTATTTCTTATAATCAAAGTTTCAAAGCTGATATACGTACAGTATCAAAAAAAGAATGTAACAGATTACAAAAACGGCAAGGAGGTAAATGTATATCGTCAATGTAAATATCAATATTTATTGTATTTCAGCTTTTAGATACAGAACAAAGAAGCATGCAACTTGAATCTGATATTTCTACCCTATCAAAACTTGCAGTGGAAGCCGGAGGTTTCCTTGACTTTGCGCAGAACGATTTACAAAATATTTCTGACGAGCTTGCTCAACTTTATCATCACGTCTGTACGGTCAATGGAGAAACTCCATCGCGCGTGGTTCTTGATCACGAAAAGATCGTTCCCGATAAGGAAGAAGAGAACGAGAAGATAGAATGGTGTAGAACTTCGTTTAAAACTGATATTCAAATTAAGGATTTAGAAAGCTTGAGTAAAGCTAAAGAAATAGCAAAACATATAGAAACTGCTATGGATCAAATTAAACACCTCAGGAGTGCTGTGGAACATACCATTGAGCTATCCAAAGTCAAGGGAATACAGTCGAATGTTTGTAATGTGTGCGAAGGTAAGTTCACTTACTTACTCATTTTTCCTCCACTCCTGTACTAGATAGATAATTATATATGTTTCCTTTTTTATGCATTGTAGGATCAGTAAATGAGAACAAAGCAGAAGTAGCAGATCTACAAGAACAAGTGATTAGATTGAAGGCTCTGCTATCAGCTAAACGCGAACAAATCGCAACTTTGAGAACAGTACTAAAATCAAACAAAAATACTGCGGAAGGTGCCCTCACGAACTTGAAGAGCAAATATGAAAATGAGAAGAGTATCGTTAACGAGACCATGTTGAAATTGAGAAATGAGCTTAGAATGTTAAAGGAAAATGCAGCAACATTCTCAAGTGAGTATTTTCAGAAGGCACGATGAAGTTCTCGATGCACTGGTTCCTCGCCGATTTCGATGACTTTGAAATATGTTATGAAGGACGATATTCTGAACAATTTGTTCCTTTTAAGAAATAAAATGTGCCCCATTAACAATAAAGGTCTCGTGCACAGTTGCATATGCGAGGCGGCAAGAAATCTGCATTTCAGCGTAACAGCCGGCCTTCTTCGCAACCTCGCGTTCCTGATTCAGATCAACTTCATAAAAAAGTCCATGTGGATTAGCGCCTCGCATAAAGAACTGTCCACTGGACCTTCAAGCTCATACGATCCTTGTCCGTAAACAGAAAATAAGCTGTCGACGGCGAGCAACCAATACAGACGTTTTTATAGTAGTGTTAGTAATCTGTATTATTTGCAACTATTATTTAAGATATTTAGTTTATATTGATCTCTATCTAGTCCAGTTAATTTATTCTCTTTTTTCTATTTTGTTCTACTAACATTATCGCGCTAATATACTAATGTGAAAATAATCATTGTTACTAGCATTTATGTATATGTTGCTGCTCATAACAAGTTGTGCCACAATTGACTTTGCTCTTGCATTGGGAGTTTGCCATCAACAATATTGTTCCGTTTTGTAGCAATACTATATGTATATACTATACATACACGGTCCTCTAACAGTTCTGGAACGGTCGATTATTTCAAAAAGGGAGCAGTTTGGAAAAAAAATGTTTTACATATAAAAGTGTGGGAGGTATTAAACATTCTATTTAATGGTCATAGTAATCCGCAACTTTTCTGCAACACTAGTTAAACAACGATGAAAATTGTCTGAGTTGTAAGCTTTGAAAGCATGCTCAAAGGGTTATGAAAGTGCAATAGAATGTTCAATACCTCAACACTTTCATCTAAAACATTTTTTTCCGAAATGCTATATGTACTTCTGAAATAATCAATCATTTCAGGACTTTTGGGGGATGTTGTATAATATACTTTCTCAAAATATAGCATAAATATTTTTTATTGTGAATTAAAAGTCACTTGTTTAACGCGAATTAACTTCTTTAACGTACTTTTAACATTCAAGATGACTATGGAAACGTTTTCTTAACAGTACTATATCATTATCTAATGATTATGACAAACCACGTGCCATTAATGTAATATTAATAGATGGATGCTCATGGTGTGTTCAATATTTAAAAGTTCGACACTGTTAATTGAATAATGATAGGAATGGTAAAAATACACAAAATCTTAGTGATATTTTTACTGGAACGGCGTGTATTTTTTAATTTAAAATTGGGTAATCCTAATCTGAGGATCATTACGCTTCAGATCATGCTTCATGCTTATCCATCCTCCTTGTATTTGGTGTTAATACCTGCTAACCACACTCTTCAGGTTTGCGTGCGATGTTCGCCGCTCGCTGCGAAGAATACGTGACGCAGGTGGAAGAGCTTCAACGGCAATTGGCGGTTGCCGAAGACGACAGGAAAACGTTGAATCAGCTTCTACGGCTTGCGGTGCAGCAGAAGCTTGGACTAACGATGAAATTGGAGGAGCTGGAGGTGGATCGGGAGTTGCGGAACACCCGGCGGCATGCAACCAGCGCGAACGGACGAGGTAGACCGCGATTGTCGCAACAGACGAACCGTCCTCATTTAGGCAGAGAGTTCTTCTAGAAAATGATGAAGATGTGGAGCAAAATATTCTGAGGAAAACGAGGATTTTGAACGTTTTAATTTTTTTACAGCTCGTTGACGAACCGCATAGCCATTGAAAACCGATTAGCTGCGCGCTTCCCGGACTTGCTTTCCGATGATAAGGAAATGACAGTTTAGCATTTACTCTACTTTCGAATATTTCACACACCACTCGCATAGGCGCATAGAAAGACTAGAGATTGTACAAAACCGTTTTTGTAGTACGTCATGAGAATATTTTTGCAAAATTTCGGCAGATCGAGGACCGTTTAACTCTAGAACCACGAAAGTAAAATCTTTCACGTTTTGTACTAGAGAAGGAGGAAAGAGGAGAAGGGAGGGTGCATAATCTTCGCCGATACAATATCACCGGTTTAATTATGCTCTGACAGTAAGATTCAAAAACAGTGGCACATTTCACTTCCTCTCCTTCCCCTTCGAGTGCTGGGGTTAATAGGAAGAAAAGCAAAATCTGTTCTCCTCGTTTGTAAGGAATAACTTTTCTAATGAATTGAAGGGACGCGGAGCAGAACGTTTGGGAAGCTTCAAAATGTTCACATTTTCTTGCACCGATGTTGCTCCATATCGTAGGGAGTTTTGTAGGAAGCTCTGCCTTCTGTTACCAATGTTGTTAGTAGAGATGTCTGATGACAAGCATAGAACGAATTTCTATCGCTTTTGTTTTCGCGCGACTAGCACAGAATTCTGCGGAACGTTTTGTGCTTGGACGACTCGTGCACAAGAGTGAATCGTGCAAAGATATTTCGACCTTTGACGAAATCACATTTTAAACTTTATTCGCTTTTGTTTTTAAGAAAGATAACATTAATTGTACATGTGTTTGTGTATTTTATTTTAGTCGACTATACATAATATGTATGTTTTTAATTGGACTTACACACATTTAACCCAGTTTAATGTTATCTATCAGTTTATAACCACTTTGAAGAATATTCATGCATGAATGATTCGTATGGTTATAATACCTGTTAGATTGAGTCACAGATAACTTCCGCCGTTTCTCTTCGGATACCATTCTTAGTTGACACAAGCTAATAATTAATGCTTAATCGTATCGTACTCCTCCAGCGTTATGATCGGTTCAAGGATCTTTCTGCAATAAAAGTATTCCCCTCGTAGGGTCGTGCATCTCGAGAGACACAGCGAAACATTCGGGACCAGAGGAAAGTGCGACGCTACGCAGGAAATACTGAATCATAGTTGCGAAACGAATGAATTTGTTTAAAGAAGTATGTGACACAGATAGTCAAAGTCGATTCTCAAATGATGTTAACATTACATTATTTACGACTTCGCTCACCTTGTGGCCAAAATTAGGTTGTTAGTTCCGTCCTGAACATATTAAGTTTTCTATTATCTTATCGTGTTCTTTCTAGTTTTATAATCACTAAGTATATGATTTACGGTGTGGTGCCAAAGGCTACGAGTTGACTATTCTTGCTTCGAAAGGTACATTGAACGTTTCTAAAAAGATCCACAAAAATGTAAATTTCGTTCTCTTAAGATTCTCGCCGAATATTTTGTAGCACACTGCACCATTGCGCGGCTCAATTTTCAATTTATATAACGTAACCGCACGGTGGTTGTTTTTGAAACATTATTGTTCGATTTCATTGGATGAAATTCTTGAACGTTTAGGGTGGCCTTAGAGGGTGTCGAAACGCGACGCCAAAGAGGAAGCACTGTAAACACGAATGGACCTTAATTTAAAACACAGTACGCTTCTCTTCACCTTGCTGGACGTTATGTGTGACTCAAATGAATACATGAAGACAGGTGCAAGTTCTTTCGTATTAACGGGGGTGCATGACAACAACAAAAAAAGAAAAGAAAGAGACAGAAGAAAAATGAACGTATACTGTTTTTTAGGTAGACGGACAAGGAAAACTAGAATTTTACATTGCATACCATAGAGACAATATTATTGTGCGCGACAAGTAGCGTTTATAATCAAAGTAGAATGAAATACATCGTAAATGTTTAGAGTCAAAGAATAGAGAAAAAAAAAAGAAACGTAAAGAGTAGCGAGAATAACAGAATTCTTAGGGACCCATTCTCCGAGTAGTAGAGCATGTCCAGCAAACAATACCGTTCACAACTCTGCAAAGCGAAAGAAAACTGTTGCTTCGTTGTCGACTACGTTATATTGTAAACCCGTATTTTTTTGTTCGGGGAGGGTGGGGAGGGTCGTCCATTTGTCCGGTCCAATTTTTTTATAGTTTGTGGTATTTTTTAATACGAGAGAACCCCCTTTTTTATTAACCCATCGCGATACTGTGTTCATTATTATTCGAGAAAAGGGAGCACTGTGTGTTATCATTGAAACGTAACTTGGCCTAACCAGGTTTGAATTCAATTTCCATTGAATTTGGCAGCTTCTTATTGATTGTATCGGTATCGGTACAGTCTTTTTGCTGTATTCGATATTAGACTTATTTAGTGTACTATTTTAGTTGTTGTTTATTTATGCATATATCTATTTATATGTATGGTATATCTACTTGAACGATTCGTATTGATCGAGACCAGCAGTTATACTTTTTACTTTGATATTTCTCATTGCTTAAATATATATTAACCGATCTCGTTTCGTAAGATCCGACGCAGCTATTTATGTGAAAATCCGAACCAATCGATTGAGTCTGAGTGCAATCAGAAGTGGACGCGTATTTCCCGCGTAACATACGCGGCCACATTCTGACCGATCGCTTCGTACGTGTGTACGGCTTGGTTCCCAAGTGGCGTGTGCCTGGAACGTTCCTTGTCAGTTGTGAATGTGAAAGTCTGTTTATACTTGAAATGTTAACTCTTTACAAGCAAACGTAAATCGGTTGTTCACGATCATTGGACCGCGCGTTTATTAAAATTCGAGCAGACAGCAGCTTATTTTCTTATATATACGTATATATTATAATAGAAATATATTATATTAGATATATATTATAATATATACCTATATATATATATTATATTAGATATATATTGTAATATATATCTATATATAATATAATATATTATATTATGGTAGAAGTATTGAGTTTGATTCGCAATTTGTGTAAATATGAAGAGCAACGCATTGAAAAATAGAAATTAGCGACGCGAGCGTAGATCACTTGGGAACCATGCATTGTTACTCGTTTTTTACTGTCTGTTCGTTCCTTTCTTTGTCGCTCCGTTCTGTGTGAGAGAAAACAGAACGGTTGTAGAAATAAGGTAAACAGAGAAATAGACCATAAATCGGCATGTTTGTATGCGGTTGTTTACGTGCAACCAATATCCTTGCGAATTTTACTACACGTGCGTGCGTATTTTGGTAAATGTGAAATCATGCACGACGCGTTTGGTGTATCGTGGAAAAATATTTAAATTGATTGTCGATCGATCATTATATTTAAAGTCGATATTAACGATTAACGTGGAACCGTCTCTAATCAAATTTGTTATTAGCGCTAATTAGTCTTATTACCTTTATTATCTATTATTATCTATTATTATTATTATTGTCAACAATATTAAATTATACATTAATTATCGCGATACTGCTGTATAAGCTTCGTCGCGGTATCCATATGACGAGTACCTAAAGAGAATTTATCGATCGTTCATTGACTATCAATTGATTGATTAGTTGTCGCTATTATTATATTCATACCGTATTATAGTTACTCTATATTGTTGCCTGTGTCTACGATTCTAATCAACAGAGATCCTTGTTTATCGATTTATTTTTCCGACTTTCTCTTCTTTTACTTACCACTATTTAGGAACTAACAGAATAAAAAATGCAAATCAACATTTACTTTATGTATATGTTATATTTTCCGTTTACTTTTCCATTTGTTTTTGTCGGATTCGATGAAATTAACAAATTCGCTGCGGACCACGTTGTTGTGCAACGTACGTTATAATTGAAACGTGGCGACTATAAATCGTTTGCAAATTAATCAGACTAAAAATTAAAAGTGTAATTTTCTCGCGTTTCTGATTCGCGGCGAATCTGTTGATCGGTGCAATCGCGAACGTTGAAAAGGATGCGATAAACAATTGTGTATTGATTCTCTTCTTTTTTTTTTGTTTCGTTAACGATTAACCGATTGAGCGATAGACACAGGTGGTTCTAATTTATGTCCATAAACCGAGCCAGCCTCATACCACCGTCCCTTCCCCCACTCCTCGCGCCATTGCCAGAAACAAAGAGCCAGAAGAAATTCTTTCGTTTCTCTTTACGACCATTAAGTAATATTTATACACACACACAAACACACACACACACACCTTCTGACTTCGTCCTTGATGAAAAGAAATTCGTCCTCGACTTTTCGCCTTGCCGTCCGCGCTCTAACAATGGCGACTCGAAAAAATCGTTCGTATTATAAACGGGAGAAGAAAAAAAGGAAACAATCTCGAATTGTCATTCTTTCCGTAACGTTGAATTTCTCCCTCGTCGGCTACGCGAGAGATAGCCGTTGATCACGATACGTCCGATGTTGTTAACCTTAAAAAAATTCTATACGGGCAAATACACATATTCTCCGTCCCTTTACGTTGTCGCAAAGTTTCTCTCGGAACGAATTTGATAAACGGCCAACGAAACACACACGTTCGTCGATGCTACCCTTCGAGCTACGTTTGTCTGCCAAGAAAACCGATTCGTATGATCGAATGTTCGTTAAGTTCGTACACGTTTGTGTGAACACGCATTTTGTTAGAAACGAATAGAGGAGAAATAGGTTCGCGAGCCGTGTAAAAGTACGACGTACGAAATTCGACGAAAGCGCCAAACCTGTTAACTTTTGCCAAAGAATATTCTGTCCTCTCGAGGGTCTAACCATACTCTTCGCGTACTTGACGTCCTTCGCAAAAACAAAGTTCCTTCGTGTTTCGAATGCGTCCCGTCGAGAATCGTTGTAACGCGTCTCTCTCTTTCCGTCAAAAGAGTCCCCAAACATGGAACCTGTTCATTCTTTGATCACGTCGCTGAGAAAGTAATGTTGTTTTTGAATTACGTTATCGTCAACAATCTGAAATAATAAATTCTTATTTAGTGTTGAAAGTCTGTTATACCAGAGTCTCGAGGCCCAGCCCCCCCCCCACTCCCGACACGCGTCCCGCGGCCCAGCCCCCACCACTCCCGTCGCGCGTCGCGCTACTCGGCGGTCGCCTCCTTCGGCACAGAGCATCTCAGACGCACGCGTCCGTGTGCATGCAGCATCTAGGCGGCCATCGGGGAGCGAGACGCGCGACGGGATTCGGGAGGCGTAGCCCTCGCGATCCTCACGTTACGTGCCGGTTAATTCCGTGCCCTAATCTACGTTAATAGTCAATGTTTTATTAAATAAATTTGTTGATAAAAGCCTGCTCTTCGTTGAATTGCTCGAATTTGAATTAGGTATATATTTTTAAAAAATAGGAAAGGATGCCTCGTATTTAATTGAATTGCGAAAAAGCATTTCGAAGCATCAAAACCGACATTACATTCTCATCGAGACGATACATATGCAATTATTTGGAAGGAAAGATTAGTTGTTGTTTGTAAATGGAGATGATAATTATTAGATCTCTCGAGACTTTCCCTTCGTCCGTAAATGTTTGTTGTCTGCTCCTTCGAGCGGTGTGGGACCTTCGTGGTTTGACAATTGTTTCGCTTGTTAATTTGAAACGAACCTCGACGATCACGAGGACAACGGAAATTCGATATAGCCCTGTCCACGTGGAAAGCTTCCGAAATTGGAAATTGCGTTCGCGCGCACAGCGTACCCGTAGCTAAGATTGGTGGCGAAAAAAAGAAAAGAAATCAATTATAAGCTACTGTTATCTTCGACAATAACATCGACGTTAAACGATTAGGCGACATTAGAAGTAAATTGTTAAGACCCTCGCGCGCCATTCTGACGATGGCTCGACGTCCATCTTTCGTCGCGTGCTCACACCGCGAAGAGTATTATAGCCAGCGTGTTTCCATCTCTATTCTTCATCGAGCTTATACGGTTAAGAGAATTAAAGATGGTCTAGAACGATATCATTTAACGTCGCGATGAATAAAAAATGTATCATTATATTTTTACATTCGCGAGAAAGAGAGAGAAAGAGATGATGAGTAATGATTATGATTATGATGATGATGATGATGATGATGATGATGATGATGATGATGATGATGATGATGATGATGATGATGATGATGATGATGATGATGATGATGATGATGATGATGATGATGATGATGATGATGATGATGATGATGATGATGATGATGATGATGATGATGATGATGATGATGATGATGATGATGATGATGATGATGATGATGATGATGATGATGATGATGATGATGATGATGATGATGATGATGATGATGATGATGATGATGATGATGATGATGATGATGATGATGATGATGATGATGATGATGATGATGATGATGATGATGATGATGATGATGATGATGATGATGATGATGATGATGATGATGATGATGATGATGATGATGATGATGATGATGATGATGATGATGATGATGATGATGATGATGATGATGATGATGATGATGATGATGATGATGATGATGATGATGATGATGATGATGATGATGATGATGATGATGATGATGATGATGATGATGATGATGATGATGATGATGATGATGATGATGATGATGATGATGATGATGATGATGTTGAAGAGAAAAGGGAACGAAAGTTATTGAGAGAATTATGGAGAAAAAGTAAACGCCAGAGTTTACCTGCTGGATGGTATATAAGAAACCCAGAGCCACGTATCTGTCAAAGGCACTCCGAGACCTTGAGGCAACAAAATTATATTTCAATTGAAAATTTTACTTTCTGTTCACCAGTTTTATAAACGGTGACTTTTGCTTCTGCACACACGTTCGACAGTCCCCGGTAGGAATAAACAGGATATCCCAATAAATGTTTCGCAATTTGGAAATGGGGGGGGGGGGGTCCCGAGGTCATTTGAAGTAATTTTTTCCTTAGCGAAAATGCGATCCGCGGCTTCGTTTAGGAGTTATTAACGCAAAACGGTAGCGACCAATGAGAGGCGAGCGCTCGGTTGGCGCGTGACGGCCGAGCCAATGAGTGGAACTGGGCTTCCAGCGCTTGTTGGCTGGGCCGCCCCGCGTCTGTCGAGCGCTCGCCTCTAATTGGTCAGTGTTTTCCGTTAATAACTCGTAAACGAAGCCGCGGATCGCATTTTCGCTAAGGAGAAAGTTACTTCAAATGACCTTAGGAACCACTTATTCACAAATTGCGAGACGTTTTTGGGACAGCCTGTATAAGTAAACGACGAAATGTGATGCAGTGATGCAGGGTTAAATTTTCTCCGAAATCCGTAGATAGACCAGGATAGAGGATGATAGAGGATTATATTTGTATTACTAGTAGATTGGATTCTTCTGATTGAAATGAGACCATGCACAACCTTAAATCGGACTATGTTTGTCGAAAATTAATTAATTAAATTAGATAATTAAATAATTATTCCTATTTTATATTAATCAATCAATCAATTAATCCTAGTAAATTAATTAATCAATCAATTACTTAATCCTAGTAAATTAATTAATCAATCGATTATTTAATCCCAGATAATTAATCAATCAATCCTGGTTAATTGATGAATCACGCAATTAATTTTCTCAGTTAATTAATTAGCCAATCGATTAATCCTGGAATAGCTTAAATTAATCCAATTTACATCGGGTCTGCACTCATATCAATCAGAAGAATCTCGGCCCATTCATTGTTGCTACAATTATCAAAATAATGCGACACATCCTTTACAAAGTTACATCACTATGCTCTATCTACTCGTTGCACACTAATGTATACACGCTCGGCACACGAAACACCACCAAATACGGACTTCGAAGCGTCACGTAAACATCGAATCGACGTCCGAACCCGTGTTTACATTATCGAACACCGAAAAGTCTGTCGGCAGGCGCGCGACCCCCTCCAACCGGCAACCGCTTCAACGCCCTGCATCGCAAGACCTCCGCGCCGCGTCGTTAGACATCACCCCGAATTAAAAACCTGGAGCACTGTCGAACGATCGCATTTTCAATTCAATCACATCTTGCGTAACACCGCGGCGATTTAACCGAGAAGAGCCATTCGTCTGTGTTTAAGTTTAAGGTGAATATAATTCACCGTGTAGCGTATAATTTCTTTGCTTGGCACGGAGCCAATGATTTTTCCCCCGATTCCGACGACGAAACCAAAATCGCGAAAGAGAACTGCCACGTCCACGTCGACCGAAACGGTTGCTCGTTGTTCCTTTGGCGTGGTGGTGGCGCAGGTGTTCGGATCAGCCGGCAGGTAGATTTGCTCAAGGCTTCCATAAAAGCTATGATTGCGTCCCAATTCTGGCTGACTTCCTGGCAATGGCGCGCCATTCGGCTTAGATCGTATTATTCACGAACGTGAAGCGTAAAGAAGAAAAAAAAAAGAAAAACGTGAAGCTCGGGCGTCGAGTAAGATTTTTAGCTGTAACGGCGTAGGATAAGCGATTCAATCGACTGCGTAATATCTGTGCTGGAATCATTAACCGACCGTGTGAGAAAGAAAAATCGTGCGGAGCAATGGGTTCAAGCTTAGTATAGTCGGTGGATAACGTATAACGAATTCGTAATCGTTTTTATTTTCTTCTTTTTTTCTCTTCGTTCGAGGAAACATCAGATTTTCTTCGATTTTTCTAGGCGACTTACGAGCCGATTTTACGAGTTTCCTATGCTTTCTCCACCATGTATGCTCGGTGAACACGATGCAGCGTAGTCGA